CACACACGCGAGGTTCTGGCCGAAGCCACCTGTTCCTTCCCAGATCCACATGCAACACAGGCCAACGGATATATCCTCGCGTATATCCTTAACGGGCCCAGTTCTGACCTACAAGCCACTGGGGAAGATGCCGGTCGTGAGTGGGCCGAGCTGCCGGCCCATGAGTCGAATCCTTGGCCTCACGCGATCCTGGTTGCTCTGTTCGGGTGCCTTGATCGCTGACAATTCCCCCCATCTTCAAAACCGGCTTGAACCCAAGCCGGGGCACGCGGAAACAACTAACGAAGCGAATCCTTGTCCTCCCAGGTTGCCGAAGAAGCATTCCCTCCACTCCATTGAACCAAAACTTGCGCCACTGATCGGTGGTCCGAGCGGCGAATACGCTCCTGCAGTATCTTAACAGGGAACTGAAGATGAACATCAATGGAAGGAAGCGACTTGAGTACCTCATGTTGTGGTTGCACACAACGTTACAACTGCGAAACGTGGAAAACGGGATGAATACGACTAGCTCCTGGTAACTGTAGGCGGTAAGCCACTTCGCCAATCTTCTCTGGGATAAAAAATGGCCCAAAATACTTGAAGGCAAGCTTGTGATTAGCTCTATGCACCACCGACGACTGCACATAGGGTTGAATTTTGAGGAACACCCGATCACCCACAGCTAATGCCCTCTCTGTGTGTTTCTTATCGGCCTGATGTTTCATTCACTGTTGAACATGTAACAGATGCTGGCGCACTGACTGTTGAACAACCTCTCTGGCATCCAACCATTGCTGCAAATCAATTGGATCAACTGCATCTGAAGCTGAAATCCTGAAGTGCCGAGGACTATGGCCATAAAGAACCTCAAAGGGAGATTTATCGAGTGCTGAATGCCAATTAGTATTGTACCAGAATTCACAAAGGGAGAGCCACCGAGCCCATTTCTTCGGGTGAGCTCTGTTGAAACATCTCAAAAAACACTCCACCTGTTGATTGAGATGCTCAGTCTGCCCATCAGTTTCAGGGTGGTATGTCGTGCTCATGTTAAGTACAGCTCTTGTCCTCCTCACCATGGCCTGCCAAAAAATTCTTGTGAACACATGATCTCTATCTGACACAATATATCGAGGCATACCATGAAGTTTGTAGATATTGTCCAAGAATAGACCAGAAATCTTCTGGGCAGTATATGGATGTTTGACAGGGATAAAATGTCCATATTTTGTGAACTTGTCAATAACCACCATAATGCAGTCATAATGATCAGAAGAAGGCAACCCTGAGATAAAATCCATAGTCACAGTTTCCCAAGCTCTGGCAGGAACAGGTAAAGGAGACAAAAGCCCTGGATAAGCCACTCTTTCAGGTTTTGCTTGTTGACAAATAAGACAAGACTGCACAAACTGCTGGATCTTTTTCTTCATACCAACCCACTTAAATAGTGCACAAATTCATTTGTAAGTGATAGGAAAACCTGAGTGTCCCCCAAGGGAGTGTCATGGAAGGCCTGACAAATCTTTATGTGCAGATCATTGTCATTGCCCACCCAAATGCAGCCCTTGTATCTTATCACTCCCTGTGTCAATTGGAAATTGTTTCTGGATTTAGGCTGCACTGACAGCTGTTGCAATAGTTCTTGTGCTTTTGGATCATACTTGTAGCTGACAACAACATCTTCAAGCCAACTAGGTATGACACCAGAAATTGCTAGCACTTGAGAATCTATTTGTGGTCTTCTAGATAGAGGATCAGCTGCAGAATTGTCATAACCTTTTTTGTAGACAATTCTGTAGTTAAGCCCCATCATTTTTGTAAGTGCTTTTTTGCTGCCAAGGTGTATGTAACCTCTGATCAGATAAATTAATCAAGCTCTTCTGATCTGTCCTGATGATGAATTCCTGAAACTACAAATATGGCCTCCACTGTTCAATAGCTAATAGTATAGCTAGATATTCTTTTTCATATACAGATATACCTCTGTTCCTGGGGCCCAATGCTCTGCTAACAAAAGGAATGGGGTGGTCATGTTGCATGAGGACAACACCAATACCAACATCACAAGCATCAGTTTCAACCACAAACTGTTTGAAAAAATTAGGTAGTGCTAACACAGGGGCATTAATAAGAGCTTGCTTCAGATTTTGGAAAGATAGCTCTGTAGCTGGTGTCCAAACAAAAATAGTTCCCTTTTTCAGCAACTCAGTCAAGGGCCTACTAATCATCCCATAATTCTTGATCAACTTCCTGTAATATCCTGTTAAGCCCAGGAACCTCTGACTTGTTTGACATCAACATGAACTAGCCAGTTCATGACAGTTGTAATTTTGCTGGCATCAGTGGAGACTCCCTTGTCACTAATGACATGGCCCAAATAAGCGATTTCTTGCTTAGCAAAGTCACACCTACTCAGTTTGACCCTCCACTATTTTTCCAACAGAATGCTCAACACCTTGTCAAGATGCATGAAATATTCCTTTAGGGTTTTACTGAATATGAGGATGTCATCAAAGAAACACACTACACAAGGGTCCTCTCCTCTCAAAACTGGAGCTAAATCTGTGTTCATTGCTCCCTGGAAGGTATTAGGTGCTCCAGTCAGACCCATAGCTACTACAATGAATTCATAATGGCCAGAATGTGTCTGAAAAGCAGTCTTAAATTCCTCTCCTGGTGCCAATTTGATTTGATGGTATCCAGCTCTAAGATCCAATTTGGAAAACCAACAAGCTCCAGCAAGTTCATCCAATAACTCATCTATGACAGGAATAGGATACTTACTTTTCACGGTAAGGGCATTAACATGTCAGAAATCAATAACCAGCCTCCACTCTCCCTCTTCTTTTTTCTTGACCATTAGAGCAGGAGAAGAAAATGGGCTATTGCTCACCTAGATCAGACCCCCTTGCAGCATTGCTTGTACTTGCTTTTCCATTTCAACCTTCAAGTGGGGAGGAATTCTGTAAGGTCTGATGGACACTGGTTGTGCCCCAGGAATTAAGGGTATACTGTGGTCAAATTGTCTTCTGGGAGGCAGACCTGTGGGTGGAGAAAAAACTACAGCATATTTGTCCAGTAGAGCTTGAATTTCAGGTAACTGTTCCTTGTGTTCAGAGTTAGTGTTCAGAAAAATAGCCATAACAGTAAAGGCACATTCCTCAGGCAGTTCTCCTTGTAGAGTGACTGTAGCACCCTTGTACTGAAATGAGAGCCACTTTTGTTCCCAATCAATATACATGGGACTGTGCTTTGCTAGCCAATCTAGGCCCAAAATACCATCATAGCCTCCCAAGGACAGAAGCCTGAATTCATGTCCTTGGCACCCCCACTGACAGTGTTTCACTTGTTGGGAGCAAATCAGTTTTCCTCCACCTGCTACCTTAACAGCAACTGCTTTAATGTCAGTAATTCCTGAGAGTATATGATGCAGAGAGCTGTCCAAGAACGAGTTGCTGCCTAAATCAACTAGGAACTTAAGTTTTGCATTCCTTATGCTGACTGGTAATGATAGGGACAATACAGAAGCAGTGTTACTAGTAGCAGCTGCTGACGGCATCATTAGATTATCAGAATCACTATCTGATTCATCAAGAGAAGGAGAGAAGCTCTGCAACTGTTCAATGAGCTCTTGTACCACATGTAACTGAACCGTGGACTTGCACTGATGATCTTTGAACCGTTTCTCACCACAAATGAAGCACAACCCTTTTTCTTTCCTGTAATTCCTCAGAGAAGTCCGCTTTTCTTCAGCTGACACTGTCCTATGACCCTCAACTTGTTTCCTTTCTTCCAGTGGCTTGGCCTTGTAATGATAAGGACCTGATGATGTTGTACTCCTTTTGGCAGTTGTGTACTGTAATTCTCCCAATTCTTCATGAAGCAGAGCCAGCTCATAGGCAGTGTCTAGATCTCAAGGTTTCTGCATAGCTATGGCCATTCGAACACCTGGTTTTAGTCCATCTATGAAACGAGTGGTGTAATGCAATGGATCCGGGTTGGTTTCATACGCCGTGAGCTGGTCATACAACTGCACAAACTGCTCCACATATTCCTCCACTGTCCCAGTCTGATTGATTCTGAACATCTTCCTCAGAAGATTCTCGTGCTGGTTACGGCCAAACCGAGTTCTGAGCGGATTTGCTCGATGTAGCTCGGAGCGGACACCGTCGACGCGGGCGGTGATGAGGCCGTCCAGGGTCTTGGTCGAATCCTGAAGCAGCTTGGTCATGGACTTGAGGAGGTCATCGCTGTGTACCTTGAGGCATTGCTCGAGGTCGTCGATGATGGAGGACTTGACGAATGCGTGGATGTTGCGGCCCTCCGCCGATAGGCTCTCCATGGCTTCTTGTCGACGAAGATCACAAAACCGGGTGCGGTGCGAGTGGCGGGGGATCTCCAGGATGGAACGGCTCTGATGCCAGATGTAAGCTACCAACTTATATGATTCGAATTGGGGAGGAATTCGCCATGGGAGGCGGATACAAGCTCTCTCTCTCTCTCTCTCTCTCTGACACACACACACACACACGAGGTTCTGCCCGAAGCCACCAGTTCCTTCCCAGATCCACACGCAACACACGCCAATGGATATATCCTCGCGTACACCCTTAACAGGCCCAGTTCGGGCCTGCAAGCCACTGGGGAAGATGTCGGTCGCGAGTGGACCGAGCCACCGGCCCACGAGTCGAATCCTTGGCCTCGCGCGCTCCTGGTTGCTCTGTTCCGGTGACTTGATTGCTGACACGCTTACTTGTGCAGGACATGTTTGAGAAATGTTGTGACCACGCCAGGGATAACAGGTACTTGCTGTGGGAGGACATGAAGAAGATGCGATTGATAGTGAACACGGAGTTCCACCAAGAAATGTGGGAGTTCCTGCGCAGGCAAAGATGATCCAAGGGAAGTGACCATCTTGGAGAGAAGAAAAGAAGCAACTTGTCTGAACCACACGCTCCTTCATGTGAGGAAGGCCTGAATCCACCCACCAACCAGACAAGTCTTTTACAAGATCCATCAGCATGACAAGTCTTTACAAGATCCATCAGCAGGAGGCAGCGAGGCAGAGTGGTTGTCTGGTAGATGTTGAAATCATTTGAACTCGACGGTCGTAAATCGAGTGTAATCATATGTTTGATATGTTCAGTCTGCAGTTTTTGTCATGCTAAGTGTAGGTCACAAAAGGTAGTGGATTATCCAGCTAGTCAAATCAAAATTGGATGAACTGTACGTGCTCCACTTCTCCAGTTCAATTTTGCATGGAAGTCGCGTACAATTGTGATTGGCCTGTGTCAGTCAGTTTGGAACCAGACAAGTTTGCAAAACCACATCGGGACATGATTGACAATTTGGATTTTCAGTAAATTGGTTTCGTATCCTTTTTACAAAATACTTAGGGGTTTATGAGTATTCACACTCTGGTGTGTAGAGTTAAAATACAATGAGCGCTCAATTTGATGTTCAGGCGTAGGACAATATACATGTGCCAATGTTGAAATATGGCCTCACATTAAAGAGTGTTCAGTATAGAAACGAATTTATATTAAAAAAAATCTGGTTTCAAATATTTGAACTAAAGTTCCACTTTTTGTTTGTTCACAACATCGCATGGCTCGTTGTGTTGACACCGAAGATATCGTGGCAATGGCCGTCAACTGAACCGGAGGCAAAACTGGCAGTCGTACAACTGAACCGGACGCAGAACTAGCCGGCAAAACCGGTTAACATGGTTGCTACCAAATCTTTCTGAGATGATATTGTTTCCCTTTGTCATCCACATTATGTATACTTGAGAAATTGAAATAGGACTTTGCCTATAAATGCGTGTTTGGAAATCTGACTTATCTTTATCCTATATTATATAGAAAGAGGAAGAAACATCTTTTTCTTTGAGGGGGAAGAGGAAGAAACACTTGAATATTACAGTAGTAATTGTCATTGGTGACGATGCGAAAGGAAAGAAACACGAAGAATCTTTAATGTACACATCAAAAAGATGGTCGATAAGTTTCCAATAACAGCAACTGATCGAGATTGTGTTTCCTGCCTATTTTGTATCAGTACATGCTTTCACACCAACAACGGCTCCATTTTTAGATGGAAATACTCCTACACACCAGGATTAGGCTTCAATAAATATTTACCTTTTTCATCCCTCAATCCAAAAAATAGATTGGCCCATGAAAGATACCAGTATATATATGCCCCCATAAGTGAGCATGTCATCCAAAGTTCATCGAGCAAACACTCAAACACTGCAGCCTACCACCGAACTTATCCCATAACTTTGTCAATTCTTCTCTTCGAAATGGAGAGTGTTACAATGTTGATTGTTGGTGTTGGGCCAGCAGGCCTCGCAACGGCAGCATGCCTTAGCCAATTCTCGATTCCTTATGCCATCATCGAGCGCGAGAGCTGTAGCGCGTCACAATGGTGCAACTGCGCGTATGATCGCCTCAAGCTGCATCTCGCAAAGGAGTTCTGTGAGTTGCCACACATGTCATACCCTATAGATGCACAAACATACATACCAGAAAACTTGTTTGTGACTATGTTGAGCGTTTCAACATTCCACCAAAGTATCTCACCAGCGTGGAGGACATGTCAAAGTGCACCACAGTCAAGTTCACGACGAAGTTACTTGTTGTGGCAAGTGGTGAGAATAGTGCAGAGAATATTCCAATGTTCCCTGGACTGGAAAACTTTCCAGGTGATGTTATCCACTCCTCAAGCTACAAGTCAGTCAAGAGCTACTCTAGCAAGAATGTATTGGTCGTTGGATTTGGCAACTCCGGGATGGAAATTGCTTATGACCTTGCGACCCATGGTGCCAACACATCGATTGTTATACGAATCCTGGTATGTACATGCGCTATATATTTTCATTGGGTGCATGAACGCAAATTCTTAGTATAGTTATTAATAGAAGAGATGCAATTTTCAGTGTTATTATTAATAGGAAGTATTTCACATTGAAAAAGAGTTGGACTGTTTTATATCACACACAAACAACTAAAAGACTAGAGGAACCACATGACAAAAATTTATTTCATGAAAGAAGAAATTCTATTTATTATGCATACTTGAAAAGAGGTGTGACATGTTTTGTGGTTGCAGATTCATGTAATGACAAAGGAATTAATTCATTTGGGGATGACACTTGCTAACCGTCTTCCACTGAATCTAGTGGATAAACTCCTTGTGATGGCAGCGTATTTAATATTTGGAGACCTTTCACAGCATGGCATCACAGGGCCAAAAATGGGTCCAATGACCCTCAAATCAGAAACAAGCCGATCTCCAGTGATTGATGTTGGGACTGTTGGATTGATCAAGAAAGGCATCATCAAAGTAAGTATATCCTTGACATGACATAAATTTATAACATATGTTGATTTGATATGCCAAGTTATCAATGTATTTTTATCTCCTTAAGGTTCAAGGGAGCATTAGTAAGATCAAGGGCAACATAGTTAAATTTCAATGCAGTAAAAGAATGCCATTTGATGCAATTGTGTTTGCAACTTGATACAAAAGATGACAAATATGTGGCTCAAGGTAATATAGCTTGTGATTCAACATGTCTGAGTTTGTTTTCTTGGTGTAACCATTATTAAATCTGCTAACAAGCTCTATGTGTTTTTAATCCAGAATGGTGAGAGCATGTTAAATGGCAACGGACTGCCCATCCAAAAATATCCGAATCATTGGAAAGGTGAAAATGGGATCTACTGTGCTGGGTTGGCGAGGAGAGGATTAACTGGTATTGCAACAGATGCCAAGAATATCGCTAATGACATCAAATCTGTGATGGACTCTATGTCAAATTAAATCATCTTTTACATGTAGTTTACCATGGCAAGCATGCTAGAAGGTTGATTCTTTGAGAAATATATCCATTGTGTCACCTTCGTATCTAGCTTTTAGACAAGTAGATTTATGTTTATTTTAAGGTTCATATGTGCCCTCGAGAGAGATGTACTATTATATTATAATCAAGGGCATTGTACTCTTATTACAAGGAGAGATTTCTAATTTTGGTTGAACCTACAACTGTGTATTATATTTTATTTACTTGAAATTATATGTGCAAAAGGCATGCGCTCAATACTCTATTATCTATACCAAAATCTTTTGTGGCGTGTTTACCTTATCAACATACAACTGTAGGAGGTAGTACTCACATGAGCCTAAAATAAATGCATAGTTCACTACATCCATCGCTGGTACTCTAGTGCTATTCAGACTTAGAATGGCACTAGTTATCAACCCATGCATCTGCATGGGGTAGATGACATACTATAAATCATTAAAATATTTGTGAACATATTTAGAAACTTAAAACTAAAACTTAGAACACCATATTACGGAAAACTACTATTTAGAACGTGTATTTGTGGTTACATGATACACGTATCCTTAACTGTTGTGGACTGATATGTCTCCAATGTATCTATAATTTTTGATTGTTTCATGCTGTTTTATTATCAATCTTGGATGTTTTATAATCATTTAATAGTTATTTTATATAATTTTTTGGTATTAACCTATTGAGATAGTGCCAAGTGCCAGTTGCTGTTTTTTCTATGTTTTTTACATCGTAGGAAATCAATATCAAACGGAGTCCAAATACCACGAAACTGGACGATGATTTTTTATGGGCCAGAAGGAAGGCAATGGACCATGTTTGCACCTGGAGGGTGCCCCAATGGGGGCACAACCCACCAGGCCGCGCCAGGAGGCCCAGGCGCGCCCTGCTGGGTTGTGCCCACCTCGGGTGCCCCCCGGACCGCCTCTTTGCTCTATAAATACCCAAAAAATCCCAGAACCCTAGGGGAGTCGACAGAATATTGATCCAGCCGCCGCAGAGTCCAGAGCCACCAGATCTAATCTAGACACCATCACGTAGGGGTTCCCCACTTCCATTGGTGCCTCTCCGATGATGCGTGAGTAGTTCTTTGTAGACCTTCGGGTCCGTAGTTAGTAGCTGGATGACTTCCTCTCTCTCTTTTCATTCTCAATACAATGGTCTTTAGAGATCGATATGATGTAAGTCCTTTTGTGGTGTGTTTGTTGGGATCTGATGAAATTCGAGTTTATGATCAGTTATATCTTTTTATATCCATGAAAGTTATTTGAGTTTCTTTGATCTCTTATATGCGTGATCTCTTATAGCCTCGTATTTCTTCTCCGATATTTGGGTTTTGTTTGGCCAACTTGATCTATTTGTCTTGCAATGGGAAGAGGTGCCCGGTAGTGGGTTCGATCTTACGGTGCTTGATCCCAGTGACAGAAAGGGAACTGACACTTATGTATCGTTGCTACTAAGGATAAAAAGACGAGATCTATATCTACCGCCATATAGATAAACGGATCTTGTCTACATCATGTCATCGTTCTTATTGCATTACTCCGTTTTTCCATGAACTTAATGCACTAGATGCCTGCTGGATAGCGGTCGATGTGTGGAATAATAGTAGTAGATGGAGGCAGGAGTCGGTCTACTAATCTTGGATGTCATGCCTATGTAATGATCATTGCCTGGATATTGTCATAATTATTTGAAGTTCTATCAATTGCCCAACAGTAATTTGTTTACCCACCGTTTGCTATTTTTCTCGAGAGAAGCCACTAGTGAAACCTACGGCCCCCGGGTCTTCTTTCTCATATATTTGCCTTGCGATCTACTTTTCCTTTGCATTTTTATTCAGATATATTAAACCAAAAAACAACAAATCTGTATTTTATTTTATTTGCGATCTATTATTTCAATCTATTACAATTTTCTCCAGTCTCCTCGCCAATTTCTGGCGCCGTAACCCGAAAGGGATTGACAACCCCTTTAACACGTTGGGTTGCGAGTGGCTGTTATTTGTGTGCAGGGGCTGTTTACGTTT